TGCACTATAGTTCAGCCCCTGCCCGGGCCCCCCGGCCCTGGCCCAGCCTCCGCGAACGCGCGATTCGTCGTGACAAGCCCGCGCCCGGGACTGAGCCACTGGGCCCGGTTAGTTCAAGCATCTTCCTGCAATCCGGGGAGAAGACCCAAGAAGCGCACAACCAGGAACTCAAAGCGAGGTTCCCAGGAGACGCTCCGGAGCGAACCGTTCTGAGGCCTTTCGAGTCCAGGGACCCTTGGGAAGTCCCGAGTAAGGTTGTGAGGCCAAGGAGCTCATCCCCGCCGAGGCCGGCTCCCAATGGAGCCCTGCAGAGTTCTCTCGGCCCGCCCCCCCGGAACCTGTCCCCGCGGAGTCCCGCCGCTCCGAGGATGAGTAGTCCCTCCTCCCCGAAGGAATCCTCCGCGTGGGAAAATCAGGATCTCACCGTCGAGGAAACCGTCAGCAGGAGGAGCCCTTCCCCTGCGACCCTTTCCCAGTGGAACCCGGGTGCTGCCAAGGCAAGAAGCCCATCCCCTGAAGCTCCTTCGCCGTGGGAGGTTCAGCACCCCACAATCGGAGCTACCATCGAGGGCAATAGCAGCCCGCCCCTGCCGGCCGTGTCCTCATGGGAGGCTCCAGATCGTCCTACGGGGCCGTGGAGTCCATCTCCCCAAGAGAGGTGGGGTCCCAAAATGCAGGGCTCCTCGATAGCCTCTCCGCAGGAAGCTCTGAATGGCGCAGTCCAGGGGGAGCCGGCGCCGCCTACACCGCCCGCACCCAGGACTCCGGAGCTAACAGAGGCGCAGAGTCCCTCCGCACCGGACGTGCGGGATCTTGCCTTCCAAGACAGTCAACCGTTGCCAGAGGTGGCTGCAGCCGCGCTGCCCCTCAGTCGCCTCATGGGCACCATGGATTCGGATGCGCCCCCGGAAGCCTTGGGCCCTGGACCCGCGGCCTCCGGACGCCCGCGCGTGGCTATTCCGCGGCCCCGTGACATGCGCAAGATGGTGAAGACCACGTACGCGCCGAGCTTCCCGGCGGAAACCCCCGGCTCAGGGCTGCTAGCGCCGCCTGCGGATCCCCGCCCTGAGAAGGGTGGTGCATCCAAGACGCAGGAGCTCCAGGCGCTGGGGACCCCCGCCCCCGCTCACTACACTTCCGTTTATCTCAAGGATTTTCTGCCTGTCGTGTCGCACCCCTACGAGCCTCCAGAGCCACCCCCCAACACAAACCCCCGGGACGCTTCGCAGCCCAACGGGGTCCTGCGGCGGAGGGCAGAGAACAGCACGGCAAAACCCTTTGCGCGCACTGAGATCCGCCTGCCTGGTGCCTTGGCCTTGGGCCACGGACTGACGGAAACCCGGGGAGTCCTGGTGCGCGGTCCTGCAGGAGAGAACCGAGTTATGGAGGCCCAGCGCCTCGTCTCCGAAGGCGAGGGTCCGATCAGCCCGTTAGGTGGAGCTCTCCCCTTACCCCAGCGGTCGTCCGTAGGACCAGCAGGGCCCCCTCCAGCCGGCCCATCCCGCCTCAGCTCCCCTCAGGCGCACCCTAGCTCGAGCCCTGGGAGAGCACCCACATTGGAGCCTCCCGCTTCTGTCCCCGAGCCTGCCACTGCCGTCCAGTCGCCCCACCCGCGGGAGCCCCAGGCATTGGCGGGCAGAATGGCCCCGCCCCAGCCCCGCGCTGCATCGGCACCTCCTATGGACCGGTCCCTGGAAGGCCCCTCCCAAGGGGCACGCAGGCCACCCGGGGCCGCGAACACGGGGAAGGTCCTGGTGGACCCCGAGAGCGGCCGCTACTACTTTGTGGAGGCGCCGCGGCAGCCTCGGCTACGGCTGCTCTTTGACCCCGAGAGCGGGCAGTACGTGGAGGTGTTTTTGCCGCCCTCGCCCCCGGGGCCACCCCGCCGCATCTACACCCCGCTGGCCCTGAGTCCCGGCCTTTACCCGCCCGCTTATGGGCCTATCCCCGGCCTCTCACTGCCACCATCCCCAGGCCCGCCAGCCTACAGCGGCGCCCAGCTACCCTGGGCTTCCGAGGCGGGGCCGCTGGAGAGGATGTACTACCTTCCAGTGAGTGGGACCCCCAGCCCCGCACCTCCTCTGCTCCTCTGCGCTCCTCCCACCGGCGTGGGTCCCGCCCAGGCTGGCAAGAGCTCCTTATTCCCTGTGTGAGGCCCCAGGGCCTGATCCCCATGGTGTTGGGGCCTGCCTATGGCTTTTAAGGTTCAGGCATCCAGTCCCCTGCCCTTCTTTTCTTCTGTCACCTTTTTTACCCAGCTCATTGAATCCTGAGACCGGAAGTTATCTTCAGAGAATGTATCTGGGACCCCGAGGGGCTGATGGAACTGGATCTCAGGAAGTGACTGCCTGCCTTCTACAACCTTGTATACCCCTTCCCCAAGCATTCCCATGAGTGTGGTGTGTTTGTGTGTGTATGTGTGTGTAAAAGTGAGGCGTCTCAGGATTTGTCCCCAAGAACTGACCTGAAGGGTTGTTGGGGTTCCCTAGGAGCAGCAGGGGACCGGGCTGCCCCCAGAAGTAGTAGCTGTCTGCCCCTCCCTGAAAGGTGGGCCCAGGTGAGGTGGAGCAGGCTAGTGAGCACCCGCGGGCTGGAGGGAGAAGGACTCTGGCTGTCAAGTCTGCTATTCTTTGGAAGAGGATCTAAGCCTTGGCCTGGGAGGCTGTAGCTAGTGCAGCCAGGCCAGGCTGTACCTGAGAAAGGGAGCTGTGGGGACAAGCAGGTGAAGGTGGAGCAGGGAAGTCATATAGGAGGGGCTGTGGAGGGTCAGCCTGGGATATGGGGGTAGTGGAGGGAGGTGGGGAAGTGACTGTAGTCCCTAGCTGGGAGCTCCGCCCTTTATTCTCCTCTCAACCCTAGCCTCTGACTTGGCTTCTCTAAGCCCTCAGAGCTAAGCTGGCTCTTCCTGGGGCCAGGAATGGGGGCTTCAGTCATTCCCATCCTGGGTAGGGAGCAGATGGAGCGAGTCATCAGGAAGGACTTATAAGCAAGGAGAATGGTTGAGCTATTGTCCCAGAGGAGCCTCTTGACCCCTCTGGGTGGGGTAGAGGGTTGGTTAGGGCTGGCAGTAGAAAGGGTGCCCCTGTATGGGGCAGGCCAGAGAAACTTGGACCCCTCAGCTGGTTTTACTCCCCCAGTAGCAGATGTGGCACCCCTGCCCAGAGAGCTGCTGGCTATGCAGGCTGGTCACAGCACAGTAAGGGACAGGGCCAGAGCGTGTGTTCCCATTGCCCTGAGATTCCAAGAGCCTCTGAGGAAGGCAGAGGAAGATGCATGGAGTGAGTGGGAGGTGCTTTGTATGGGTTCTGTGTGAAATTCTAAGCTTGAAGTGTGCCTGGGCCTTGCTGGACAAGTATGTGATGTGCTGAGTTTGGGGAAGAAGAGTGGCCATTAGAAGCAGTGTTAGGGATGGAAATGGATGCCTTAAGTTCCATGCCCCTGGGGGGCCTGGGTCCTTTGGAGTCCCTACCCACCTGCCTTGAACTAGAAGCTGACTGGGAGAACTATGAGCCAGAAAAACCTGGACATCTTTTTATAGTTGGAGATGCTGTTTCCAATAACATGGAGGGCCCTGGGCTCGTCACCTCATCCTGGTGAGCAATAAATCACTGGCCCAATGAGCTATGATGGCTAGAACAACTGGTGTAAGGTGTCTGATTTCCTGCTGTGGCCCTTTAACACCCCTACAATGCCCTTTCATGCCCAGGTACAGCCTGGGTCTAGTGAACCATAAGGCTCAGGGAAGAAGACCATGAGTGTCTTTCATACACAGTGGTGTCCCTACCTCAGTGAATTTGCCTCCCAGGAAGGGACCCTTAGGCTGGCATCATTCCTCCTGGTGGCTGAGTGGCCAATGGGCTTTGGGGTCAATCAGGCCTGGGTTCCAATTTCAGCATGGCCCCTCTAGGTATGTGGCCTTGGATTTGTCACTTCTCTCTGAGCCTTTGTGTCCTTGGGGGCAGACTAAAGAGGACAGTAACCAACCACTTCCTCCCCCAAGGTATTCAGCACAGTACCTGCCCTGCGGCCAGATTCCAGGCTTGGGAGATATTAGCCCCCATGTGTCCTTGCCCAGGCCCAGCCACTCTCCTTGCCTCATTGTTCTCTACCTGTGAAATGGAGCTAAGTTGGCGGGAGCTGGGGTCCCACCAGAGGAGATGCACATGTGGTGTCTCCTGGGGGAAGGGAGAAATGGGAGGGGTGAGGTGTCAGTTCCCCATTGGTCTGGGTCTTGGGTGTGGGGCAGGACCCGTCCTAAACAAAATGATGTTTTGATCCCCACCTATGGGAGAAATGGGAGGGGTGAGGTGTCAGTTCCCCATTGGTCTGGGTCAGGGTTCTGGGGAGGTCCCCACTGCACACACAAGTACATTTACATCCCAACCACAGCCCATGCTCACTGAGCCGGCTCCAGAAACCATGAGGCTGTCACTGCCACTGCTCCTGCTGCTACTGGGGGCTTGGGCTATCCCAGGGGGCCTTGGGAATAGGGCTTCGCTCACAGCCACTGCCCCAGAGCTGGACGATGAGGAGAAGTATTCAGCTCATATGCCTGCTCACCTTCGCTGTGATGCCTGCAAGGCGGTGGCCTACCAGGTGAGTCCCTTCCCCCAGCAGTTCCCCTGCCCAGTCCTCCTCAAATCAGAACCCTCCATCTACCTCAGATTCCACCACTGGCCTTTGATCTATCTCCAAACCCCTACCCCCAGGCATCCAGCTAGACTCAGCCTTCCATGATATTGCCATCTTCATCTCCAGGCCTCAGTTTACTCATCTGTCTGCCCAACAGAGACCGGACGATCTGGGACACCCCATAGTATCTTGAGACTCCAGGGAGTCACCAGTTTGTCATCTCAGACTCCTCCCTTTCCAGGCCCATCCTCAGGCCTGGACTCCTTCCTAAAATATGACGGCGGAGCACTGGTATATGTGTGCATGTGCTGAGTGTATGAATATATGAGTATGTGTGTGTCTGAGTTCACACACAAACTTGTCAAATGCGCCTGAGTACCTATGAGTACTCATGTCATTGAAGAGTGGACTATGGTTTGGTTTGGTTTGGTTTTCTTTCCTTGTGTTTGTGGTTTAAAATGCATTTGTGGATGGGCAGGTGTGCCCTGGGGGAGAGACCCCTGTGCCTAAGCCTAACGGTCCACCTCAGCATTTCCCACCCACCCACTGGGTCCCAGGAAAGTGATCCTGCCTCAGCTGGCCAGGCCCCAGCATTTAGGACCCGGGGGAAGAGCCTGAGGCCTGCTTCACAGGTGCTTCCTGCTCAAAAACCTCCCTTGGCCACCTCACTCTCCCCGGAAGGCCCAGGTTTCTATCCTCCCCTCCCCCACACTGAGCAGTCCCTAAGCCCTGACTCTCAACCCCTCCTTGTTCCAGATGTGGCAACATCTGGCAAAGGCAGAGGCCAAGCTTCACACCCCTGGGGGGCGTCAGGAGCTGAGTGAGTCGGTATATACAGACGTCCTGGAACAGAGCTGCTCCCAGACCTGGCAGGAGTGAGTTGAAAATCCGGTCCCTACCTTCCTCCTCCCGGGGCAGGGCTTGGTGGGTGGAGGTCCCCACTCGCCCACTCATACCACACACATTCTCCACCAGGGCTCTGGTTCAAGGTAGGGGGCTGGTTGGGACCAAGTCTGAGCTCTAGAGCTAGGAGCAAGTAGAAGGGTAGGTGGCCAAGGGACAAGTTCATGGTCCAGGAGCTTCCCCTCTCTGGTCCTCTATTTTCCATCGGGGAGGATCAGAATCTGGGCACTGAACTCAGCAAAGGCCCAGTGTGCCCAGTTTCTTGTGGAGACAGGTCCCCACTGGCCAGGCTCTCACTAATGCTGTGTCCTCACTGCCTCCAGCTACGGGGTCCGAGAAGTGAACCAGGTGAAACATCTCATGGGCCCAGGACTTAGCCATGGGCCAGAGCCAAGCGTCAGCGTGATGATCACAGGGGGCCCCTGGCCCACCAGGTAGGATGGAGGGTGGGGGTGAGATGGAATCCTTGGGACCTTAGTCTGCCCCCCGTGGGCCGGCAGAGTTTGAAGCTCCAGTTGGACTCCCCTAGGCTCTCCAGGACATGTTTGCACTACCTGGGGGAGTTTGGAGAAGACCAGATCTATGAAGCCCATCAACAAGGCCAAGGGGCTCTGAAGGCATTGCTGTGTGGAGGCCCCCGTGGAGTCTGCCCAAAGGAGGCACCAGGCACAAGGGCAGAGCTCTAGTCCAGCTCCTGCTTCCCCTTTGTGGTCAGCCCCTGAAGACAGAGGGAGCTTCTTCGGGATCTGTCCCCCTCCTTTCTGCAAGGCTGCTGAGGACAAGGAGAACTTGCTCACTAGGCTGCCACTCTCTCCTCCTCCAGCTTTGGGGCACTGGGGCCTGGGCGAGGGGCCAAGGCCTTCCCCTCTGGACTCAAATAAAACTCAGTGACCTCAATTCCTTCTCTCTGCAAAATGTGCTTGGGGGGCTGGGAGGACAGATATGGGTGTTTCTGCTGATGTTGCTCCTGGAGAGGGCCAAATACACATCCCTGCAAATTTCCCAGAAGTAAGTGAGATCTGTCCTGGTTAGAAATGTCAGTGAGCAGTCAAAGATATACAGATCCAGTGATGTGAATGGGAAACCCCAGCTCCATCATGAGAAAGAAGAACCATGGGAAACTCCATAAGCGGGCCACTTTGTGGACACGCCTCCTGCAATCACTGGGTGCTGTCAGCTGTTGGTGCCCCTCCCAGAACAGCAGTCTCACTGGGTCTACACCCAGCAGCTGCTCATTTCTAGTCTGTCTCTGACCCCAGCTGGCATGGTTGGGCCCTAGGTGCCTGCCTTGGACAGGGCGGGACAGGGTTCCTGGAATGGGCTGGTTTCAGCATCTTGGCTCTAAGTCCTGCTCTCCCCGGAAGTTCTTCTGTCCTGGGGCCTTTCCCTTTAGCAAAAGGAGAAAAGGGCCCCACCTGGGGCCTACCTAAGTCAGTTTCCTTTGTGAGTGTCTCTCTGAGCCTTCAAAGACCTGGGAGGTGGACAGAACAGACTCTAATCCCCAGATGACAGATGTAGACACCAAGGCTTAGACAACAAAAGAGGCTCAGGACAAGCCCCAGGCTGAAAAGTGGTAGGACTTGGAGGTGATTCAGATTTGGGGGGTGGGGAAAGGTCATTGCTGGAGGAATAGGGGTACCCGCAGCATGCCCTGACCTCTCCAGCTTTCCTAAGCTACACTGCAGCCCAGCCCCCCTATATTCTATCACCTGTTCCCGATCTGCCTCACCCCCTGAATGGTGCTCCTGCCAAAAGAAACCTGATGGCACCAGGAAAGGACCCAGGGCACAGGGAACTGCTGAGCTATATCGGGTGTGGAGTTGGGAGCCTGTGACATCACCCAGGCTTTATGTGGAGTCTGCATCTGAATCTGGGTGTTGTGAGTCCTTTGTGTGATTATATCTGAGACCCTGTGCAACCGCAGGCTTTGTCTCTGTGTGGTTGAACTGAGTGTCTAGGGGACTGGAGGAGGCAGGGCCCCCTGGGGAGCACTGGGGAGGAGGGGGTGGGAAGGAAAGTGCTGAGGAGCAGCTCTGAAGCTTCAAACTGGTCAGACGACTTTGGGAACCTGGGAGCAGAAAGCCAAGAAGGGAGAGGAGAGAACAGGCAGACAGAGGAACAGGCTGGAGGCTGGACAGGCAGACGGATTCAGGACTGTGGCATGAAGCTCCTTCCCAGCTGGAGAGCGGTGCTGCCTGTGGGCGCTCGGGGCCGGGTCTGGCCATGGACCCAACAACCCAGAAGTAGGTGGGCCCTGGGGGGCTGGGCCTGGGCAGCCGTGTGGGGGGCAGAACCTCAGCCCCTGGACCCTCCCAGCCCCCGGCCCCAGCTCCAGGCCCCATGGCCAGACTGGGCTGGACCTTCCAGGAGGCAAAGACAGGCAGGGCCCGGGCTGGCTTCGGGGGCTGTGTGACTTGCAGTCACACAGGGCCTGGCACTTGGAAAGGCTCCAGACGGTGTTTAATGTTCTGCTGTTACTGTCTTGAAAATTCATAATACTTTTGGGACAGGGGCCCTGCATTTTCGTTCTGGATTGGGTCCTGGCGGGGAGGGGAAGGGACTCCTTTGACACAGGGGACAGCAAGGCCAGGCCAGCCCTGGTAGCTCCTCCAGAGGTTCATCTGCTGTGTGCCTCAGGGACCATGAGGTGAGTGGCAGTGGTGGGGAGGGTGGTGCCTTATTATATTTAATGTGTGATTCACAGCATAAATGCGGGAGTTCAGGCCCACCTGAGTTTTAGGAATGGTTTTCTAAAATCTTGCTACCTTGTCAGATCATATCTCCTAGTCAGCTGTAAAGGAGGTTAATACTGCCCAGCACCTGGGGTTAAACACAACAATACAGAGATTTTGCCTGGCACACAGCCATTCCTCAATGAGCGTGGTTATGATGGTGATAATGATTAACTTGTTATTAATATTCAGATGGTGACATAACAAGTGCCCATTTGTACTCCTTTTCCTGTCACTCAAACAGAGATTGTTAAACTTCCAAGACTGTCTATGCCTCACTGCCCACTCTGGCCCTTTCTTGGGAAACAAGACGAGGTCCCGTGTTCAGGCTCAGGTGCGGGCAGTGGGTGAATGTGGCAGAGCTTGGACGGCCTTTACCATTCTACGATGGCCAGAGTTAATACATTACCTCCACCCGGGACCTGCTTTCGCAATCTCGATAGGAGTTGGGGATCTGGTTACAGATTTACTTCGAACAATGTCTGATATGTGGAGTAAAGTCCTCCCTGGCCTTTCTATAGCCATCTCCTCTTCTCTTCAGGAACTGCTCACACCTGTGTCCCAGAGATGAGGGCCCAGGAGGACCCTGAGGGCCAGACACAGGTGCTGGGGGATGACTGGGAGCTGGGTAGGGGCAGGATGGGGTGGGGGCTGGAGGAGCTGCACACAGGCTTCTCCCTGGGAGGGCAGAGACAAAGGTTCTTATAAACTTGATCAAGAGTGACTGTCCTAGGCAGAGCCTGGCTATTGGGGGATGGGGTGGGGGTGGCAGCGGGAGTGAAGGAGACTTCAGCTTAGGGAGTCGCTGACTCCAGCTTGAGTGCCAGTAGGGACACCACCTAACCGTCCCCCCCAACCTTGCGCCGCCCTCACAGTGCCACCCCAAGGACCTCCACAGTCCTCTTGGTCCCCTTTCCTGTGTCCCCCCAGGCCGTCTGACTTAGGGGCCCATTCCCTTGGCTGGAATGCCTGAGTCCTGAGGGCTCCAGGAGCCAGCACAGTGGACTCATCCTGCACAAAGCAATGTGAGGTGGGAGCCAGGTAGAGTCGGGCCAAGGGACAGCTCGGTGTACGAACCGCGAGGGAAGTGAGGAACCCAGGCTCAGACCCCATTCTGAGAGGCTGACAGGCCACTCAGGCACCTGATTGATTCTGGGGCAGAATCAACTTTCCAGTGTCCACCTCTCCATCCTGAGTTACTGTTCTCTGCTGTCCCCAGCATGAGGACCTGGGCTTAGCAGGGCCCTCCACGAAGGACCCCCCGGTGCCCCTGCCCACAGAGCCCAAGTTCGACATGCTGTACAAGATCGAAGATGTGCCGCCCTGGTATCTGTGCATCCTGCTGGGCTTCCAGGTGCGCTTCCCCGCAGCAGCCGCCCCCTTGCACACTCCCCAGCCCCTCCCTGGCCACCAGGGTTATCTTTGGGAACAGGAAGAGAAACCGAAGGTCAGCAACAGTGACTGTAACAAGCAGGGGTGGGGAAGAGGATTATGGGGTCCAAGAGAGGATTAATCCCCTGGGAGCAAGTATCAGTGACAGGGAGGAGGGCCCACTCCACAGAAGATGCAGGAATAATTTGGGGACAGATAAGTAATCCCCAGCCAGGTGAGCAGTAGTCCTCCGGAATTCCCTGTGAGAATGTCAATCCTGGGTGGGTATGTTGCCTAGGGCAGCGTGGCTTCAGGCCCACTGAGGCAGGCATGAGAAGTACTAGGGGGGCCCTGTTTCCATGTGAGTTCTGTGGGTCTCATGCACTCCCCCACCCCCCAGCATTACCTGACATGCTTCAGTGGCACCATCGCTGTGCCCTTCCTCCTGGCTGAGGCGCTGTGTGTGGGCCGTGACCAGCACATGGTCAGCCAGCTCATTGGCACCATCTTCACCTGCGTGGGCATCACCACCCTCATCCAGACCACGCTGGGCATCCGGTGAGCTGCCCCACTCCCACCCCCACACAGACACACGCACACAGACACACGCACAATGTAGCAGCAGCAGCTGGAGCAGGTGGTCTCTCTCAGAGGACTCATGGGACAAAAAAAGCTGCTCTCTGCCCCAACCTGCTGCCTCTTCTCCCAGGCCAGCCTTAGAGCCCGGCAGCTGGAGTCCTATCCTGGCACCTGGCACCCCTCAAAGACTAGGAGTCCGTGGATATAAGGGAATGTGCCTTAGCTGGGCAAGGATTGGGCGTGGAGCCCACTCACCTAGCTGATTAAGCCCTACTCATTAAGTCCTACTCAGGGACCACCTGCTTCCCTGCCTCCTGGGCTCTTCAATAGTCTACCTTCCTGGGGGCCCCTACCCCCTTGTGCACAGCCCCAGGTGGCCAAAGTGTGGCAGTGTGGTAGGAGGAGGGAGGAAGGTTGTCAGTGCAGCGTGGATGCAAGAAACAAGCTGTCCACTTCTGTGCACTGGCCCCTCACAGTGCAGGAAACATGCTGAGAAGGAAAGGGGCAGGGGTGGGCAGGGGCTCCATTTGTTTTCTTCTTGGGCCCCCCAAATGTAATAGAGTCCTGCCTGGGGCCTCAAGGACTTCCCTCTCCTCTGCCCCTGCCCAGTCCCTATGTCTCTGTCCCTTTGTGTGATCCTTTCTGCCTCTCCCTCTCTGTGCCCCTCCGTCCCCATCTCCCCTGTCTGTGTGTCCCTGCCCCCACCACACTCCACCTTGCTCTGTGCCTCCCCTTCCAGGCTGCCGCTGTTCCAGGCTAGTGCCTTTGCATTTCTGATCCCAGCTAAAGCCATCCTGGGCCTGGAGAGATGGAAATGTCCCCCAGAAGGTGGGCACACTTCTGGGGTGTGCTGGAGGGGAGGGGGACTAGAAGCCTGGAGGTCCAGACACCAGGATGCGTTTATGGCAGCAGCATCTTCTCTCCCTATGTCTCCGTTCCCTGTTCATATGTGTGTGTATCCCTGTCTCTGCCCCCAGAGGAGATCTATGGCAACTGGAGTCTGCCCCTGAACACTTCTCATATCTGGCACCCACGGATGAGAGAGGTGGGTTCCCACGTGGAGTAGAAGGGCAAAAGACAGGACTGAGGAGGGGACTAAGGAGGGGGCTAGATGGGAGTAAGGGCCACAGGTGAATTGGGAGATGCAAGGTAGGTTAGTCCAGAGGCTTTTTTTATTTTATTTTTTATTTTTTAATGTAGAGGTCATGGCTTTTA